TACCAGACCATGAAATTTTACTCTTGGACTTATAAAAACGTCATCTAAATTTATAATGTTTTTGAAGAGTGAATGGATCAGGGCCAGTTTTTGTAAAAGTGTCAGTACTTGATGGTACTAGTGATAGTAAATTAGTACCCAGTAATTTAACTGTGCCTTGCATTCCTAAAAGAAGAACTTATGCTGGTTAATTGCAAGCACTAGGAAGAATATTTCATTACCCTGCTAAATAACTTGATTTCATGTTTGAAATTTTTCACTGCAGTGTTGGAGATTGTCTATAGCTGGAAGAACATCATTCAAAAATGCAAACAAACTTCTCCAGTTCTCAATAGCTGCAGAATATTTGGCATGGTTAAACTTGCTCTCACACTTTGGTTCAGAAAGAACCACCCTCCATTTAATTTCCAGAACAATTACCTTCTCTGGCACTTGCTGTTGGACTAAGTTGTTCTCCTGAAGGTTCTTTGACACATCATGTAATGTGTGTGCTCTTTAGTGCTTTCACTTGGTCCTGGTAGGTTTTGAGGTTTTTTTATCCAAATTTAAAGAGTTTAATGAGTCAGTGCCTTGGTAGATGATTTGCATACTGCTGTGGATTATGTACCTATTGCATGGGATAGTGATCCATTGCAGCCTGTCTCAAAGAGCAGAAATGAAGAGTTTCTGAAGTATTTAGTGCCACCATGAAATTCCTGACAGTCAGGTGGAACACAGGTATCAATAAAATGTGAAAGGTTAATTTACTTTTTTTTCCCTGCTGCTTTTCACAGCTGTATAAGGAGGTGATAAAAGCTCTAGGGTTTATTCCAAGAATTCACTTGACATGAAAAATACCCCTGTGGAGAACAGAGAACCTTACACGGTTAGGGAGAAGGCTTAATTATAGCACAGTCAACAGAATTGGCTTCAGTTCTCACCATTTAAAGCAGCCAATACTGCAATGAGGGGCTTCATGCAGGACTCCAGCCACATGGTTTGATTATGCCACTGAAGGGGATAAAGGGGTACTGTACTATAACCCATATTACACAGACCATAAATGGGTGTTTTGGTTTTTCTTTTCCTCTTAAATGCTCCTTGCAGTGTCCCACGGTGCTGAGGGAGTCACAAAATGTGATTTAGCAGAAGGATTGGAGGGAAGTAAATCTGTGTGTATGCAGAGAGACAATGTGCAGCCATTTGTTGACTACATGGTGGCTTTAGTGTGGGTCATTGGATAAAGAGCTACAGCTGTTTCCATCTCCTTTCTAAAATTATAAAAACAGTAGAAGAAGAAAGAAACAGGCATTTTCTTTTTGATTGATGAGTAGATTTTAGCAAACTGATACTACTTGAGCAACTGCAGGAAGAAAAATAAAAAGTGACCCAAGTGGAGGCTCATTACATTTTCATTTTTAATTCCTGGGTTCTCCTTCTGGGTACCAAAACTGACATGAATAGTTTTATTCCAATGCAAAAATCAGATTCAGGCAGCAGTTTGCCTGGCAATAATATCATGGTAAGTCTGCATTGAAAATATATCTGAAGGAAAGATTACATTTTTGGGTGGGAGGGGGAGGGATCATCCCCCACACTGAAGCACTGGTTAAAAACTCTCAAATCAAAACTTTTTTCAAATTTACATCTTCTGTGTTATAAATACATCAGAATGACCACATTAAGAACCTCTGCCTCTCCCCATCAAGCCACCAGGAAATTTTGAGAGGGTTCAAACAGGCTACTACAAAGGCACAGCTTTGCCTGTGTTCTCTCATCTCCCACTCTGTTGTGCCCCAAACAAATCTCTGCACTTGACAGATTGTGTTTTGAACTGACAGTTTTCACCCGATACATGTCTCAATGAGAACAGTTCCCATGGTAAATGCCAGCCACATGCCACAAGCAGAGAAAGGGCTGACATTGTTAACAAACGCTGCAGGCATTTGTAGTGAGAAAATGGTTTGTAGGTTTTATCCCTTTTTATATTGCTTTTGCACTCAAAAATACATAGATGTTTTTACTGAACGTAAGAAATAACATTTAAATTTGATTAAACCTTTGAAGGATCCCAAGGGATGAATATTTCAGGAAAGTATTAAAGGATAAAGAGATGTCTGTGTCATAAAACTCTAGATTAGGTAAAGAGCACTGTAGTATAGGTGTTCTCTCTTCACAATATTTTACCATTACTGTGGCTTTGCTGCTTTAAATTCTTTATTCAATTTATTGACTCTGATCAAATGGCCCAACAGGGGCCTTGATGATTACATACTTCTTAAATGTATATTTAATTATATGGATTCTGTTCATTCATATGAGAGACAAGACAACCAATAAAGAAACATTGAAGAAAAATCAAATTGTAATAAAAACAAATAAAAAGTATGGACATCCTTTCTGGAGACCCAGGTGTTGACAAAATGCAGTGATATCTTGGCTGGTATGAACACACCTGAAGACATGGAGTCCTAAGGAAAATTATTGTGTACTTCAATGGTGTGTCCAATATGAATATTATTAACTATGCTTGTTTCTAATCATGGGTGTCAAACCCTTGATTTCTGCTGTGAACAGGAAAAATGTCAGGGTATTGACAGTATGCCTAGCATAAAGACCAGTGCTACAATTTCACCATGGCATCTAATCCAAAGAATGTCTTCTGAGTTCTTTCTCATCAAACTTATTTTAAAGTTAAGATCTCACAATCTTCAAGGTTCCTACATTTTTATCCAGGAACTCTTCACTGTATCAGCTTGTTCATACCTCAGAAGTCCAATTTGAGAACATAGCACAAGGAAAAAGGGTCAAATTAGTCCACAAATTTCTTTACATTGATTCTTTCAATACTTCTTATTTTACCACCCAAGCATCATCCCAGCATGAAGCTGACCACATGAACCAGGCAGCCACTAATAATGTTTCACACTCAGCCAAGTTTCTCTATCAAAGTATCAATACAGAATCAGAGTTGAATGACACCTAATTGCAGTACACAGCATGACTGCAAAAGGCTTCATCCACTAAAAGCAAAAAATTGCCTCTATTGAAATCAAAGATTTTTGCAACTGCTATCAGGAGTCCCAAAGTTAAGAGAATTATGTTTTTCATACCATTGTTAATTTTGGTCTGGAGCACAGACTCTTTCAGCTGCTGACATTTCAGGTCAGGCTATGTAATAATCATCTTCCAGATAGTCACATTTACTCCAAAATGGTCCTGAATTTTAATAAACTTGTAGAAGTGAGAGGCCATAAAACTCTGGTCCTTGGCTAAACCCTTCACTGTGAGATTGAGATTTAAACTAGTTTAAAATAGGATTGATCAGTGTTACTGTTTCTTTTAGTCATGTATAGAATTCCAGCGCAGAAGCTTCTGTATGATTCATTGGCACTGAAGGAATGGCACTTAGAGATAAACAATGAGAACAGGAGAAGACATGATGTCAAAAAAATACTTAACATTTTACATAGTATAGGCTCACGTTTTCACATGCATCTTGATAAACAGGAAGCCCATCCTTATTTTCTTGAGAGCTTTGGGAGCTTACAGTCTTGAAGCTTGAACTGTGCTGAAGCCAGTTTTAGAAATGAAAATTCAGACACATGTTAGTAAAAAGACCAGACTTATTCTTTTGAGTTAACCCCAAAACCAGGACACTTATACAGTAGTCCAGGTTCTGATTTCACATGTTTTCAGAAAGATTTGTGCAGCCACATATTTCTGTGTCTGTGTTGAGTGTCTGTGCTTCATATCTACCCAAAATAATGTTATAGTTGTGAAAACCTTTTCAGATCTTGCTCCTCAGTGTTGGTCTAATGTTCATAAAATGACATAATGTTAATAAATTTATTTTTGCAAAAAAAAAAAATCGAGTTAGAAATTCCCCCGGTTACTTTGAAGATACTCTAAAAACTATGTGCTTATGGGAAGTAAAATGAAGAAACAGGGCCTTCTAAGCATGATTTCACATTTCAGGGAATATGGGGTCAAAATGCTACCGTATTGTTGGCAATTAAATAAAAGTGACTAAAGGCAGGTCCATTCAGTTATGGTATTCCTGATGTAAATGGAAGATAATGAAGTGAGACATTAAATGTACCAACAGCATCCTTGCATTGATTCGACATCTAGAAAGCCTTTTAGACTTTTAAAATGTAGAGCCAATTGTAATATTTCAGTACTAAAATGACAGATGTAATTCTTCTAGTTATATTAACTTTATTTAGCTATTCTTAATTTTATATAATTTTATATAATTTATCTTAAAATAAAGATGTATACTTTTCAAATACAATATTTCTTGACATGGTCAGTCCTTATTTTTTTCATTTTAGATCATCATATTTATACCATTTGCTTACTGACTTTTCACATCAGCTTTTACAGCAGTTTTCAAGAAGGTAACTAAATTTATGGTTCAGAGCAATGATGACCCCTCAGAACAAAGGTTTGAAGCCATAGGTAGTTGGAAAAATGCAGATAGCATAAAAATATAAATATATATAGATATATACCTCCCACAAAAATACCATCTCTTTGGGTCAGAACAGAATAGTTATTCTTTAACACTTTGAATAGAACTTAAGAAAACATCCCTGAACCTGATTGTTTTTCTGAGTTCATTACCCAGCCACTTCCCCGCAGGCTAGTTTCACATTCTTATTCCAGTGAGTGACTCTGTCCTCGATGAAATTATCTGCTTCCTTGTGCTTTGGGCTTCCTCTTGGCCTTGGAGTGGTAATATGAAATATGATGGCATTTTTTTCTTAAATAGTGCTCTCCACACTGGATGTATTGACAAGTAGGTGTAAAGTGTCTTCTGTTTGCTACCTCCTCTGTCATCTGCTGTGGACATACCCTTGACCAGAAGTTCTCTTTCCCCCATTAGATAGCTGTGCCAGTATTTTTCTTGACATATATATATATATAACATAGAAGGGTTGTACTGGTGTCCTGGGTGCATTGGCTGGTTACTGACCGAGAGGGGTGTGGAGCAGCAAGGCACAGAAAATCCACTATACATTCTAACATTTAGGCTTTATCCTTTATTAGGTAGTGAGTAAGAGACAAAAAGAACTGAGTTTGTTGTTTACAGCTGAACTTTAAAAGAGACTTGTGTGAACAAAAACTTGTTCCATAGAGCACTGTGACAAAAGAGGTCCAAGAAAACTGAAGGTGTCATCGCAAATTAGCTGATGTAAGTAGTTAGAATGACACTCTTATTTCTAGCAAAATTTTTATGAACTCTGCTCTTAGTACTGTGCCTCCATACATGCCACAGGCCACGTTTTGGCAAGGATCAGGCTGTTGATTTTGATGGCATCACAACAACATGGCAGGATGTACAGCAGGTGTCCATGCACCAGAAGGCCGTGCATAAGAGCCTTCAGGATATTTGTCTATCTCCCATTTTCCCATCTGCCTGCTTCCTCATGGGGAAAAAATAGCCTGCCCAGACCTTCTACCTTCCCAAAATGTGAGTACTTCTCTGCTCCTTTAGCAAGATCTTACTTACACAGGCTCTTACAAAAGGCTCTGGAAACAAGTGGTGGTTCATGGAGCACAGCTTGAAAGCTGCTGCCCTTTTCAAGGAGGAATCTGAACGCAGCTGGCAATGGCACTACAGCTTCTGCAAACAGATGGAAGGTTGAAAGCAGGCTTAAAAGACCAAGTACACTGAATCTTACTATCTCATATACCCAAATAGAATGAAAAATTTTCTAAATTGAATGAGAGGAGCAGGTTTTGAAGGCTGGCTTATTTACTGCCTCTTTACTGGGAGCTGTAGAGTAGAGAGCCCTTTTAAATATCAGCCCCTAGTTATTTAGATGTCTAAACTTGGCTTCAGGAACTTACTCATACTGTTTTTTTGAAAGTTAGGCCAAAGCAACCCAGCTGGTAATTAGCCCTGGAATCACCATCATGTATTTTTCATGGCTACATAGGTGTGAATTGAATATAAACAAAAGCTCATTTCATTTCAAGGCACAAACGTTTGCAAATAAACTGGATGAAATACAAATACATAATACAGAACTTACTTTAATACTTCTAGATAAATAAATGCATCTCTTTGGAATTCTTCGGACACAGATATCCATGGAACCTCTTCTTTCTCTCTCTTTATATATTTTTTATAAAATCTAAATGCGGAGAGGTTTAAAAAAATGGCAAATACAAATGTATATGGAAGGCTCACTGATGAACTGCAAGTCAAAAGTGCTGTATATTCCCATCCTCTATATCTCCCACATGTCTGCACTAACCACAGGCAGCATTATATAGCAACCACATGGTCAATATTTTGCATTACTGCCTTTTAATGAAATCTTTCAAATAATTTCCCCATCTAAACCTAAATTATGCTTTTAAATTTTATTCTGCCTAAATGTATGGTAGGCATTTCACTTAGCTACACTTCAGAGTGGTTGCATGTGACTCAGCAGCACACTCCATAATATTAATAGATACTTTTCAGCTCCCTATGGGAAAAAAGCAGGCAGCAAGGATTATTTTTTTCTCTGTTGTTTGTTACTTACCACTTAATGACCCACATGTGAAATTAATGGTTATATAATTATTTTATATAGTAGATTTTCTGTTTATAATTTATTTTTCTTACTCTAACATATATACAATATATCTATATATACCCCTGATAAATCTTACTTTAAAGGGACACAGTCAACCCCTTTAAGCCTCACAGTAAATACATAAGGCTTTAAGCTGTCCATACATCACGGTCAGCTACAGAATTCAAGGGTCCCTTGAGATCCTAAAAGTTGTATTTGTTCCAAACCCATGATGTGCAGTTATCTCGTAATATGTATCTCATGTGTCACTGTTTACATTTTATAGGTATATTAAGACATTTTATATCACATCAGTAGGAAATAAAACAAGGGAATAAGTCTGTTGCTAAGACTAAAACTATTGCAAAAAATATTACCTGTATCTACAGACACTCCCACTGGTGTGATATAAAATGAATATGTGCCATTCTTGGGATGAAATTCAGGCTACAGTGCAGTCAGAAGGAACTTTAAACTGACTTAAATTACACCAGGATTTCTCTCCTGTTTTTCATTTGTCAGTTATGACTCTCCGTAACTGATTTGTGTCTTCCCTCTGCTCAACACTGAAGTGTCAGGCCTGTTTCATGATAAGATCATATTTTTGGTTTTCCACTGTCATGTCCTAAACATTGATCTATCATGTATGTATTACACTTTTTGAATAAACACAGAGTGTACACATACATTCTCAGTTAAATAAACATTTGACCCATTCTGTGTACAGTATCTGAATTCTTTTTCCTCCACTAGATCCTCTTTATCACTTTCTTTGCCCTAACATAGATAATTTTCATTCTTATGTGAGTGAGGAAAACTTTTCTCATCAGGAACAGCTCCACATTATTGTAATAATTTTTGACTACTTACCAAAGTGACATAATTTTGTTCATTTTATCTTTTGCAACTCAGTTAGAAACCTAGTGGCATAGATAGAGACACAATACTACTGTTTTACAAGACATCTATTGTATCTACTTTTGTTCAGATAAATACCCAGTAACTGCTGATTTGGCAGGAGGATTGGTAAGGGTACTACTATTCACAGTGTTTCTTTTTTTCCGTCTTCTTTAATCTACAGAATAAAGTATTTTATATACATTGGAACCAGTTAATGCCCTTTAGACAAATTTGTAAGTTGTTTCATAAAGCAGGAAAGACATTGCAGGGAAATATGTGCCAAAATGCACAGTCAAAAGGCTTTGTAAGTTTTATATGTCACTACAAGTCAATGCTGGAGATCAGTTCTAAAACGATCAATGCTCAAGAGAAATATTCTTATGTGGAGAAAATACCACCCATTCCCCCTTTCAGAATTTGTTCAGTTCTCTATCAAAAGTTCTGGCTCTTCATATATACTTTAAACTATAAATAAACACTGCATAGTTCAATGTCCTTGATTTTCATTTTTTTTTTGTTTGTTTTGATTTGAAAAATTATTGCAGTACAATTAATTCCTGTTTGGAGTTCAGTAAGGAGCAAACAGCACGGGAGTGTGGGTGGTCCGTATAGGCCCAGGAGCTGGTCGTAGGAGCGCTGGAGGAAGTGCTGAAGTCTGGAAAAGGGTGGCTGCTGGGGCTGTGCGGAGACTGAAGGGGGAATTCACAGCCACAGCAGCAGCTGCTGCTGCAGCTGCCAGTGGATTTGGTAAGATTCGTGGGGCCATCGGCTTTGAAGGTTCCTTTGAAAATACTAATTTTACCTGTGGGGAAGAAGAGAAGACAAACAAACAGACACACATAATTTTTTCACATTAGCTACATGAGAGGGAGCTTGGTTTAAGATTATATGTGCAGAATCAAGGAAGAGAGACCTCGAGGTGGCTACTGACTCTATGAGCTACAGACTTGTAACAGGTGATACAACCTCCTCAATGGACAAGGTACAAGGATTTGGTTGGGGACAAGGAGTTTCAGTGTTCACACCTAATTGCTGACACTCACAATTTAATATGAGACTAGAAATCAAAGCAAATCTAAAACAAGACTAGGGAATCTGCACCAAAGTAAAGCTGCATGTACCCTGTAACAATTAAACAAGGAAAAATCAGATATCCTGCAACAATTAAACAAGGAAAAATCAGATATCAATTAATAGATCTACATCTGGACAGCTTAATGTAGAGACATTAAGAGCAGAATGGAAACATATCTTATTCCCCGATCTTACACGATACTTTTGTTTTAATCATTAGGATGAGAGTTCTACTTAAAATTAAGATCTCCATAGAGCTCCTCTTCGTTTATTCCTGCATATAATAACAATCAAATAAACCAATCATATATTTCATGAGTTATGAATATCTCATGTTTCACATGTTTAAATGGGTGCTGTCCCATATAATTCTGCTGCGTATTCAACTGTTTTCCACTAAGGTCAGGTTCATTTTTACAAGGATTGTGAAAACCTGGCAGAAATTTTAAAGTAGCATTCTGCCAAACTATAATATTTCTGTGCCTATCACTGAGGTTTCTTCTTAAAAAACATTTAAAATCATAACATTATTTTCATGGGGATTACCAAATACAAATCAAAACCCCCCTCATTTAGTTTCCCCCCAAACCATGAAGTTTCTCCAAGACTGAAAATACTCACAAGAGTTTCAGTAATATTTAAGAAAATTTACATTTGGGATAAATACAAATGACCATCAGAGTAATCTCTATAGATTTCTGCAGTTTTCAGTGGAATTTCAAGTTTATAATGAGATGCCAGGAGCCTGAATACCTTTGCAGTCCTGCTTTTATAACTCTGAGATAAGATTAGAACATCTTTTACTGACAAACAAAAGTTACCATTGTCTCTGATGGACTTTTGGTGGGTCTGTGCCTAACAAGACCTGAGGCCTCTTGCAAAGGGCATAAACTTGAATACATGGTATTGAACATACAGAATATATGTACCATGCTGTGGTAAATCTCAGCGTAAGTATGGACACTTTTTACTTACAAGGAAACACAACTTCTCGTTCTTGACTTAAAAGGGATTTTCAAGTAATTAACTTGAATATTATCACTTTGACATTTTCAATGCAACAGAACCCTAGTGAGTGAACCATCAAAAATTAAGGGCAGGAGTACTCTAGCATGAACCACAATTGAGTTTCATTATTACACTACCACCATATTCCAAAAGGTCTGTTGGTTCTTTACTGGCCGGATGGATAGAGGTTTTTTATTTTTCCCAATACCTATCAGCAAAACTGCTGTCTTCCAGACCCTTTAAAGCTCTGGGAGAAATATTCAGATCAAACCAAATTCTTTAATTCTCTAAACAAAGGATATAATAGATGTTAGATATAAAATTCCTTATGGTGCCTATTAAAAGCAAGGATCTGATGTTTTCCTTGATCAGAGTTATGCTTACTGATCCAAGCTGTCCACTTTCTTTGCTGAACATATGACTTTTTCTTTCCTTCTCACATTTTTTAATAAATACCTTTTACAGCCTTATTTAGAACAGAAAAAAATCCCCAATCCAAAAACTAACAAACAAACAAACAAAACCACAAAACAAAATGAAAAAAGATCCACCCAACCCCCCCCCCCCCCCCCCCCCGCCAAAACCACCACCACCACCAACAAAATAGCCAACCCCATAACAACCCTGAGGAAAATAAAAAAAAAGAGGAAATAGGCAACCCTGAGTACTTTCTACTCTTTGGTCCAGAGTTCCCGGTGAAGGGGATGTTTATTGTAAAGTCTGGACTATTAAATGCTTGATAACCTTTTTTTCTCCAGTGAAGTATTTTATACATGCTGGACAGTTGTGGCTTGAAGAAATATCAAGCAAGTCCCAACACTACAAGACTTCTTAAATTCTGAAATATCACTGTGGGAATTTATAAATTTTCTCTCTCTGAAGCATGTAAATCTAGAACAGACTGAGAAGTACAAATGATATTGAAAACATGGTAAAAGCAGTTTTTTGGTCTAACAAAGCCATGAAAATATAGCATGTTCTTTTTTAAATTTCTGTAGACAAATTTGGCAATGTCCATACATTTTGTGTAATGAAGAACAAAGATCTCACATGACTGTTCCTATTAAAAGACTAAGGCTTTCTTGCCATTCTTGGAGGAATCAGGTACTTCTGATTAAATTCCTAGATTACTTCTAGTTAAATAGCTTTTCAGTTAACTTGTCAACGTGATTCTGATTTCAAGGTAGCTGCAAAACAAGTAACACTTAACATATGCAGTACCTGGCACGTTCATTTCTAACTTCTAATTTACTCACAGGTCAGCATTAGGAGTAAGTAACTGTTATTTGGAATGGTAACAATGAAACAATCAAATTGTTTCATTTCCAATTAAGTAAACTAAGAGACAAATAACTTGAAATATTAGTGGGGAGCATCCTGGTTTCACCTAGGGAGAAGGAATCAAGGAAAAGTAAAGAAAGAGCATTAAATTAAAGGTGAAATTAGTTGGCTTGTTGCTGTGCTATTCTGCACTTCAAGTAACAACAGTTCCTGCAGTTTTTATATTCAAAGCCAAAAAGAATAAATGGAAAACTGGTCTCTCCTTTCTTACAGAATCCGCAATTCTACTACATATATCTGTTCATTTCTTGCTAGTTTTTTCTCTCCTTCTTAAATCCCCTTTGCCTTTTTGATGCCCTCGAGCCTGACCTGTATATTGTGAGCAATTGGGATTGAGGGAGAGGGAAAAGAACACCCTGCTGCTATTTGTCTTGAACCTTGGCTGGAGTTCTCAGAAATCACCACTATATAAATTGGTAGAGAGCTGTGCACAAACACAACAACAATGTAATAGTTGTTTTCATCTCCTGAAAAATAATTTCCTAAAGGAATAACATTCCTGTCAGGAAGGCTTTCCTGATTCCAAATCCTACTTACCCCATTACATATTTTCTATTCCTTTCAGTATAGTTTGTATTGAAGACCTTGATCCTTCTTGTGGATTACTGAGAAACCCTATGGGGCTATTTCCCTATTAGTGGATCTACCAGAATGGTGCACTTCTTTATTCTACAAGTGAATCCTGCATGAATATGCCACTCATGAGGGCTGCCCCAACAAGGACACAGTTTCTGCTGCCATGAGCTTTAACTCAATGTAAAAAGAAATGGGTTTTCACAGGGAAAAAAAAAAAGCTCCATATTGTGCCTGCATCAGAGAAGATGGTCAAGGCATAAGGGGGTAATGTCTATGAGGACAATGAATCAACATCCTCCCTCTGCCAGAAGCATTTATAAAACCCTACAAAGCAGCAGATATAACATTCACAGAATTCACAGAATCCCTGGGTTGGAAGAGACCTTCAAGATCATTGAGTCCAACCCATGCCCCAACTCCTCAACTGAACCATGGCATCAAGTGACACATCCAGTCTTTTTTTAAACACATCCAGGGATGGTGACTGCACTACCTCCCTGGGGAGGCCATTCCAGTACTTTATGACTCTTTCTGTGAAAAACTTTCTCCTAATATCCAACCTATATTTTCCTTTAGACAGCTTGAGATTGTGTCCTTGTTCTGCCGCTTGCTGCCTGGTGAAAGAGATCAACCTCACCTGACTACAGCCACCTTTCAGGAATTTGTAAAGAGTGATAATGCCACCCCTGAGTCTCCTTTTCTCCAGGCTAAACACCCTCAGCTCCCTCAGTCATTCCTCACAGGGTTTGTGTTCCAAGCCCCTTACCAGCCTCATTTCCCTCCTTTGGATGTGCTCAAGCTCTCAAGGTCCTTCCCAAACTGAGCACCCAGAACTGGACACAGCACTCAAGGTGTGGCCTCACCAGTGCCGAGTACAGGGGAGAACGACCCCCCTGCTCCTGCTGGCCATGCTATTCCTGACACAGGCCAGGATGCCATTGGCTTTCTTGGCCACCAGGGCACAGTGCTGGACACTGTCCAGCCACACCATCCCCAGCCTATAGTGCTGCAGGGGTTTATTATGGCCAAACTGCAGGACTCATTCATGCAGTTTAACTGATGGAGAAGAAAAAAGACAGATGTTCACTATGCCACCCACAATATAAGCTGCTTCTTAACTAATGGCAGCATCTTAGAGGTATTTTTATTAAAAAAGAAATAAATCTGCTTTTGGAGCTAGTAAAAATTGTATTTCAGATAGTTTATCTTGGCAGTTAGAAATGTGACCAGAACTATTCTGAAACAGTCGAATGAAAGAAGAGGCAGGTTTTTTTAATTGCTTCACTTGTTATCTCAACAATTCTCTAAATAAGGATAGAATGAATGGTTTATATTTTATAGAGATTTTATTTAGTTATTTCATCACTATTGTCCTTGGTGAAAACTGGAAATATCCAGTTTGACATCTGGAGGTCTTTTCTGTCTCTTGCTCTCTAGTGACCTTTGCAACAAGCTTATTTTCTGAGTTTATTCAGAGTAGCTACAAAAGTAAGGGTCCACAGGCTGTAGTAAACACACCTGAAAGTATATTAAAAAATCCCTTGTGGGCTTCCAGTGGCTCCTTGATGTACTTGATACTCCAATGGCTTACACTATCATTCTACTTCTAAGCATTTTCCCACTTATGTTCTCTAAAAATCCTACTCATCATGATTAAAATAAAAGTCAAATAAAAAAGGGTGATTGGCTTACCCCTAGTGGATGTGTTCCCTTTTGGAGTTTGTTGTAAGGGCTGTATTTAGGTTTGGGTGGCTTCCCAGCAGCTCTGTCTTTGTGCCTTCTACTGCTTATGTGCTGTTAAAATATATTAGGGAGGGAAGGGGAGGAAAGAAAACAAAGGGTCATAGTTCATAGTTACACAAAAGATCACTTCAGATTCTGCTTTACACAAGATTAATGCTCCAATAAGAAAGGCTTTTGATCTACAGCAGCACCACTTTGGTTAATTCAATAATGAAAAGGAATAGGCTCTTTTGAAGTTTGAAGGATCCTTTGTGCACCAAATATTGGGGCTGTAATTTTCATCGGTTCTAAATTCAGCTCTGCTGCCACTACAGTTAAATATTTTCCCACCTTTTCTAACTTCAACAGGACTTGAGTCAGGTTAAAGCCTTTGAAAAACTCTTCCTTAACTCTATAAATCACACATCAAATCGAATCCACTGATGATAGAAAGTTTTTGCGGAATATTAGGTAGTAAAGCATCCCCTATTTGGGGAAGAATATAAGGTCAGAAAATTGTTCAAATCCCTAAGCTGTCTGGAGATACTTCTGAGATGGTTACATATCAAACTAAGAGAGAGTGAAAAAAAATGCACAAAATCCATTATCTTCTTCATAAGTTCTGTGAGATTTTTAAAGTATCTTTCTACACAGATTTTCTTGCAGTATTAGAAGTAAGGGACATTTTTCAGAATTCTTTTTTTACTTTGATTTTCCTTTTCAAGAGAATTATCACAATAAAAATACATAGAACTGGACTTTTTGCCCTCAGACCAGAAGAATGGGTATTGCTATTGTCCATTATTGAATTAATCTTCATTCTTGTAAAGTTTCTTTACAAGTATTTAATTACAATAGGCATATGGAATTAACCTAAGTGTTTTTCAGAAAGCTTTGATCATCTAAAGAATGACTGAACATAACTTAGAGTAATTGCAATTTAGAGGTCATGCTTCTCAGTTAGAGTGAAACATTGATAAAATATTAGAAATTCTCTCCATCCCACATTTCTAAGCGGGTTTCTTAGTATTCTGTGAAAGTACTGCTTGCATCCACCTTCACATCTTTGTCAAGGCAAATATCATGCAGTACATGAAATGGCAGAATTTATTCGCTCAGGACAATTCTAGCAGTCTAAAGATGGTTGTAACGTGTTACACTTTCTATAACTCTTTACCAAAGGTGCATAATTGAGAGCTGTTGAGAAGACATATTCCATGCAAGAGAAAATCATAATGAAAACAAAACATACAGCATGGCAGCCAAGTACAATGGACAAAACTGTGATTTCCATTTGGACACAAATTATTCTATTGACATCTGCTGTGTTGGTACTTTACCACCATGAAAACAAAGAACAGCCAAAGATTCCCACTCCACAAGCTGGCTGAGTACCTGTTTCAGTTGTGTCTCGGAGTTTACGTGTACATCACATATTTCACAGTGAAATGTTTTGTTCTGAAGGCCTGTGTTTCCTTTATTCACAGGTCCTTTGCCTTTTACGCCTGCCCGGGGAAAGGCTTTTATGGTTCCACTTCCATTCCGAGCTTCCAGCATAGTTTTGTGCTTAGTCCCTGGAGACAACAGAAATGGGAAACAGAAACAACTTTGGCAATTGGGTTGCATTCATTGTTTTATTTTCCTTTTAAAATAAAATCATATGAGTCTCAGCTTGGTGCCATGTGCTCTCCTTGGAATAGGGCTGTCTTGGTCTGTATCAGAGTCATACTAATGTAACAGTATTTCACACCTGGTATTTATTTACTAAATTACATACCTATAGGTAATGCACTGGAACAAAACAGCCAGACCAGAAAGGAGCAGCACAATCAGGTACCCTGATGTGAAGTTAAATGTGTGTGACTTTTCTCATTAACTCCTGCTGCTAATAAGACCTGAATTGTAGTTGCAAAAGAAAAGTAATTTAGCTATTAAAGATGTAATTGGCTTTGATTTGTAGTCCTCCTGAATAGATTGATAAACAGTATGTCTAGGTAGCTTACAATTAAATCTGTAATTAACTTATTACTCTCCAAACCAGAAAGGAGCAGAGGTTCCTGGAAGCAACCTATGGATCATTAATGTCTTGGACAGAAACCAAAACATGTGAGAAGCATGTATGAGAGAAAAATACAAGTCCCTTTTTTTTTTTTAAATTGTAAATAAAGGTTGCATAGAGAACACTAGTGTTCTGTTGCTGCACCTTTATTCAGACTGAACAGTTTTTTACACTGTTGACTCCCACACAGGTAGCCTGTGATGATGATGGACTAACTACTGCATACAGAACCACCACTCCAGTGCTAATTGCTGTATGCATCCACAGACTTGCAAAAAAAAAAAAAAAAGCATGTGTGTGAGCACACACACAATTTATCAGCACAGGCAGCAGAAACTTGGAAGGTTGTGTTTAAATATTCAGAGTAGTGTTTTGGCTCTCAGCCTGATCAGAATATTTAGCATTTATATGGAGTTAAATACTTTAAAAGGATACAGCTTGAAGTTGAACTTTCACCAGTTGAAGATCTGGCATATAGTAAACAGCATTCAAAACTGATGGAATTTTGTTTCTCATGAATGCCAAGAAGTCATAATTTCCATTCTAATTTGAGTTATATATATATGCCAAAGTTATTTCTTTTTAAAGTGCATCATAAAACCTTTGATCATTTTGCTCTAGGTATTTTATCACTGTCTCTAAATTTCAAACCTAAGGTTCTCTTTCTGTCTCTGAACTCTACTTATCCTTGATAAGAGGCAGCTCCTGACATCCAAGATCAGGAACTTTCTGTAAGATGGTTGTAGGTGGTCACTGCCACCATATCAAATCCCTAGATCTTTTAACCCCACCCACCACTGAGCCAATCAGTAGCTTGCTTAAATTAGTGACGGTGAATAGTGGCTGTTCACTACCAGAACTTACTGATGCTACTAGCTCTAATGACAAGAAAAAGTTAAAAAACTAAGAAAGATGGAGGAAGGCAATTACGCATTCAACCATCATGCAGCAGCTGCTATCAGTTGATGAAAACAAAGGGAAAATATACATAATTTTAAGCAGTTGTTTATTAACAGACAATATGGAGCTAAGAACTCTTACTCCCATCATTGAACTCTGCCTGACTGATGCTCCCTCTTTCAGCCTTAATTTGTTAAATTTCAAACAAAGCTGATGGCATTCATCCTCAGTTTGCTAGTTGGCACAAGCAAAACTATGCAAACTCTGAACACCAAAGGTAATGAAGTAGAGCTGTCATTTAGCTCAATAAGGTTTTGAAGCTGCAAAGGCTAAAGTGTAAGAAAATCTGCAACTTGCAATAAATTCCTTTCTTTCTCTTTTTTGAAAGCCACTTTGCCTGTCATTTTTATACTTTAATAGTTAATGAATTCCATGTAATTGCCAGTTTTCTGCCACCTCTTTGTCCCCTGCTGCAAGAGATCTAATCTATTCAGGGCAAGATAATTGCAGCGCTCTTGAGACAGAAGGGAAAAAAAAAAGGGAAGCAAGCAAGCACTGCTCCATCTCACCACTGTTGTGCGCCTCCAGCTGCGAGGCAGAGTTGACAGCGACTTTGCATAGTGAACAGTAGAGCAGTCTTTTTGCTTTCTCTTCCTCAGTCTCCACGGAAGGGCAAGTGCTGCTGCTCGTGGCTGTTGTGGGGATTTTCTCCACTTTAGAGGTGATCTCAGTTGTCATAACACTGCTCTTCCGGATTTCCACGGTTGTTGTCGTTGATATTGCTGGTGTCCCTGTGTTTGTGTCTGTGGGCAAAGAGAGGAGATGGAAAGAAATGAAAACAAATAGAAAAAAAATCATCTGACCTTTGGTGTTGGCTTGCTGACGTCCCAATGCTGTGATGACACAGAGAGGCAGATTGTTCTGGTGGTGGTTTGACTAATGGTAATGAACTGAACCTGACCCTTTCCTTTGTATTTCGTGTGGTTACAAAATACAGTACTCCCATGTATTAGAAAACCATGTGTTGTCTCCTGCAGTCTGCCCACACAGAACTCATAAACTGAACAAAAAGGTCATTAAGAATGTACTGTACAACAGAAGAAAAATGCAATAAAAGAGGTCATGAAAATGACCAGCACAACAGGCAGTTTAAATTTATACACACAACTTCACAGGCATAAACAGCCATAGTAACACATAATACTTATGCTGATTGGGTAGCCAAGCTAAAGTTTTAACATCTTCTACTAATACAACTAAAATTAATAAATCAGCCTTTATATCTGGTAAGAAAAAAAAAAGAAATTGATACTTCACTTGATTTTCCCCAACACCACACCAAAAGAATGAAGGTAATTATGAATACACAGTACACATTGTTATTCATTATTACATAATAATGATACATACTAATAACAGTAACTAAATGTATATATAACATTGCCTATCTGAGACCTAAACAAACACTAATAAGATTTTCATTCTGCCTATCAGTTGGAAAGATGACAAGCAAGATATATACCTCAATCTGGAAACTTACTTCTTGCAGCAAGGAACATGTGCTTTTCCCATACTTATCAAATGAAGAAGAAAGAAAATACACAATGATATTTTAGTTTGAATCATTGATACATGATGTTGGATATGACAGTATCATGTGGCTGTTAAGTACTTAGCAGGGTGGAGGACAGCAAAATGCAGCAGTGAAGGCAGTGAAGAAGATGGTGGGTAGGGGACATGAGAAGGAGACAAAGGACAGGACCTGTTCTGCCTTCACAGATCTGTATTTTATCATATTCAGCCTACTGAGTAGTAGCTTAAAAAAAAAAAAAATCTTGGTTAGTTTACTGCAATAGGCCTGGATTTGGGTACTTTCCAGCATGGCTCACATTGGTTTCATGCATTACTTGGTGTTAGTGATGCTCTACCTGTACTATGCTTTATTTACTGTCCCCCACCAGAACAGAAACAAATAGCAATTCTTTGCCTTTGAGAGCTAAGTACATGCTCTGATGCAGGAGGGACACAACTAACTGGTTGCACCACAGTGGTGCAGACTAGTACTGTTACAAACTTTGTTAATGGAGATCATTCCTAATAGCTTAGCAGGCAATATCAAATTGGAAGCAAGGCAAACACACTGAGAAACCTGATTCAAAACAATTTTAATACATTAAAGAAACAGTTTAGAAAATTAGATGCTTTTCAGTAAAGACAATTGCAGGAATCCACACTCAGTAGGTTTTATCTGATCTATTAAAACAGAATGATGAACAACAACCCCAGTACTGCATTTGGGGAAATTTTATTGTATATTTCATTTTGATTGTTTTCTTTGTTTATTGGCTCGGTTTTCAGAAAAATCTTTCAGTAGCAGACATGATGAACACAGATCTCTTCTATCATTGTGCTATAAAACAGGTCTCCACCACACTGAAATTGCAAAGCAAAAGGTTTAGGAGGTATTTTTTTCCTCCTCTGATCAGCTCTGAAGGCCCTGTGTCCAGCCTGGGGACATCAATGTCAAAAAAAAAACCCCAAGAATTACTGGCTTTGCTGTTAATTCAGAAACAATACAAATGCAAAGCAACAAGAGAGGGTTTGTGATGGAAGGAGCCAAAATAAATTACAAATTTAGAAAACATGAACTGTGAATATGGAAGAAAAAGAGCGAGCACTGACAGTGTTTTTCATATCTGTAGAAGGTAGCTAAATATAAGAGAATATACTCTTCTCCCTCATCCCTCCTAGTAGAACAAGGACTATTGGATTACATCAAGAGAGACTTAGATTAGATGTGAGGAAATTCTTTCTAATATTAAATTTTATGATGCCTGGGAATAACCTACCTATTCAAATCCAGAAATATTTCCTACTGGGGGACTTGAATCTGGCTGAACAAATATCTACACAAATATCTACACAAATATGATTCCCTTTCAGTCAGTGGGAATACAACCCTTTAGGCTCTATTAAGTTTTATACATTGTATATTTTGTCATGTTTCTACATACTCTCACAGAGGGTTTTTAAAAATTATCATTCATAAATCCAAGAAAGCAGATTTTCATGTGAATATTCTAGGTATTGACAGGCATTAAAGCATGTAGCAAAAAACAAAGTCCCACTCAAGGTCAAATCACAGTTTGGTTTTCTCTTCCCTGAAAGAGTGCCTGGAAGTTTTCATATCCTGAAGGTACTGGGGATGTCAAATATCAGTGCAGAAGGAATCAGGTTACCTTGCTGAAGAGTCTCTTCTTAGTTATGATTTTTTTAATAAGGTTTCAAATGAAAAAAATTGAAATATTAGGCATTTTGTTGGGAAACTGATGAAAAAATAAAGCCTTTGAAGATCTGTCCACAAAATTGTAGAGCTAACTAGTCACCCCTTTCCCATTCCAGAGAATCCATTGAATGTTTGCTTTCCTTCAGTCAAAAATTGCTGCAGTGAATTATTTTCCCCAAAAGCCCAATTCAAATCCAAACCCAGTCACTTTATAAGCATTAACACTGCTTTTAAAACATCGGTTTCTGCATCCTGTTACTCCTGTACAGTAGTAGGCTTAGCCAATGTACTCTCTTGGTGACATGGAAGGCAGGGGACAGATGGCCCAGGCAGGGGAAAGGGGGACATTAACATTCTCTCAGGATTGATAGCAAAGTTGGTGCTCATTCTAATCTTGCAGGAAATTAGAAATATACATCAATCACCACTGCCAGCTTTGCAGTGTCAGGGTCAGTATTTAGCCCTAAGCAAAATATAGATGATAATTTCTTTACTTTCCTTAGGAAAACCCGAGGCAATGAATGAAATCAAACAATAAAAGCTGAAATAACAGCAGATTTTATGCTGCTTCAAGTATCTGACTTTCTGTATCTGTGCTGATATAATATTTCACTATGTAATTATTTAAAAGCTTAAAGAAAATACAAACAATTATGTTAACTGTTTTGAATATTTTGAGGGTATTTTGAAGTGCACAAATGAAAACAGCATAGTATATAAAAAATTAAAAATGGTAAAGGTCATCAGGAAAAAAAATCAAAGTTCAGTGCATTTATTCTGCATTTTAAGAAGTGCCCTATGTGAATACACTTGATATTCTACTAATGCAAATACATTAATGACATTAAAACATAAATAGAAAGCCATTGAAGTTCACCATGTAAAAGTCACGAAATATTTAAAGATGCAAAGCTGCTCATTCTCATATAAACTTTAGAATTTTCAGCAGAGGTAAGGAATAAAACATTCTAAAAGCTGTCAAGTAAGCTTACAAAGAGGCAATTCAATTCCTTTTCTCACAAGAACTTCTAATCTAACCAGTGTGGGTCCCTTTGAATATTTTAGTGTTGCTGCCTGTCTGGAGTTCAGTGCCTTAAATACAGGGCAGAGCATTAAAGGTATAAGGGATTAAAAACCAAACAAACAAGGAAAAGCAACACCAAAAAGAAGTAGGAAGGCATTTGAGTTCATGCCTTGTAGACTGAATCAGCATTTCTTAACACTGTATTATGACAGTGCTTTAAGAGCAATTTCAATTATAAATGTTCTAAAATTGAGCTGGAAATTCAGCCACAGTCAAATAGAAGATTTGTTTCTGGTGACGCAGGCTTGCAGCACTGTGCTATTTTCATACCAGTGGCCTACAGCAAATATTCATTATTGCAACTGTCACTGCTTGGCTTTGGTATAGAAGTTGATTGCTGATATTGTACGGAACTGGACTCCAGCAGCAAAAAAAAAAAAAAAAAAGGAACACTTCAGGATTCAAAAGAATCCATTTGTGATTCTGGTCTTAATATAGCAACAGAATAAAAACTAAAAATATAAAAATATTACATTACAATCTAATCTTAGTCACGGGCAAAATCAAAGGTCTGTTTTAACAAGAGACAAAGACAGATGAAAAAATAGTCTGTGAGAACTGACTTCTTTGAGTACTACAGATACCATGGTTCAAATGGAAAACTGTATTGTGATTAAGGTTCTCCTAAGTAAGCAGGATTAATTTTATATCCCAGCTACAAGAGTCATGAATTTTCTTTAGTCTGAAGAAATAGAAAATTACAACTCATGTTTTTCTTCTGAGCATGTGAAAGTTTCACTCATCAGTTCCTGCCACTAAGCCTAAGAATTTCTTATCCTGAAGCTATAAATAGACCCACAGAGAGAGAAACGTACTCTGACTTCAAACAAATCACAAATATTTATGAGCATGTTTTTTCTTCCGCAATCTCAAGTGGCACACATTTAAAAATATCTGATTTAGCACATACCCATGCATTCTGGTCTCATTTAAATCAAACTTCGCCTTTGACATAAAAGGATTGAGCATTTGGCCCATAACACTGTTCAGGGAGAAAAAAATAAACAACAAAACTAGCCAAAAAACCCCAACAACTGCACCTGTGCAGAAGGTAGAAAGTACGTTCTTTCTCATAACTAACAGAACTTGATATGAAATATTTCACTGTATGAAACCACTTAGTATTGCAGGAACATCATCAGCTGGCTGTACAGCTTATAACAAACCCGTGCCAATGCTCCCACACAGACCCTTGATACTGGCACATTCAGGGCTGGGACTGGGACTCAGTATGTTATTTTCCTGACTACAAAGAAAAGTGTGTCCTCAGTTTCCTTGGGCTGCGTTGAAAACTCCATTTTCCACTACTTCTGTGGTAATTACATTTGAAGATAAGACTTAATGTCTTTAGAATCTATAAATATAATAGTGGAGTACCCCAAAACCAAAGTATCACCTCCAAAAAAATTACGGCTGACAGATATTTTTGCGCT